TTAGATATTTGAACAAAATGATCATGTACCCCCAGAGCATTCTTTTCTCCAAACCACACATCTTCAAATCATTTCTTGATGTGGCTCACATTCCAGGGCCCTCAATGTCCCGACTGTCATTGTGACATCCAGGACTTAACACTCTAACACTGTCTGTGGTAGACTACAGAGGGCAGGGAAGCACCTGTTATCTGTGCTGGGTGTTTATCAATGTGGTTAAATAAGTTTCCAATCTCTTTGTGTTGACACTTATCAAGTGTATGATGAGTGAAAATATCCAGATCTATAATGTGTGACTATCTGCACAGGTAAATTGTGCATGTGTTTTTGCACACATTTCTCTCTCTTTCTTTCTTTCTCTCTCTCTTCCTTCCTTCCCCACTTCCACTAGAAAAGTTTCAATATCATGATCATGTTATGAAAATTAGAAGAGTCTACATGAAAACTGCTTAGGACAGTGCCTGACCCATGCAAGCACTAAATGAACACTAAATATTATTCTTATTTTTTCCTCACATGTACCATGAAAGGTTCTATATATGATATGCATATATCTGTGGATATTCCCAAGTTATGATGAAAATATGGCCCCTACCCTTAATGAGTAAAAGCCTTGGGAAGATTTTTTTTTAATGACTATGCAAGGACTGTATCAGAATTGGGCACATAGCACGTAGAACATGAAGGAACAATATTAATTAGTACTGTTGCTAGGAGAAAGGAAGGGGCAAGGAGGATCAGGAAATTTTTCTGGAGGACAGGATACCTGAGCATAAAATTTACAGCTATACTGGAATTAGCTAAAGCATGCATGGGGAAGCTTGTTCCCAGCAGGGGGAAGGAGGTATTCAAAGACAGTGATGGTATGGGCATTTGGAGACAGGCAGAGTTTGACAGGTGTTCGTGCATTTGGCTCCAGGACATAGATGCATTATATGATGTTAAATGTCCAGTTTATAGGAAGTGTTCATCCTATCAGACTGAATCCTTGTCAGTTCATATCTGAGAAATACCCACATGTACTGGCATGAGAAAACTACATGTAGACACCCAAACTCTACAATGTCTAAGCTTCATCAACTTAGACATACAGCCCATTACCTAGCATTGCAGTTTCCCATAACAGGTGTAATGAGACTGAGCAATAATATGGGGAAGGCACCTCCCTCCTACTGACTGATTAGGATGTTGCTGCCTTTACCGCTATGGGTGTTTTCCATTTAGGATATGATATTTGAAACAGATATTGGCCAAATAAAACACATAAGTATCCTAGAAGCCACACTGTTAACAAAAGTAAAGTAAAAGATGTTTCTCATGGAAAAGAAATTACTGGGTGTTGGCATGAGAATGAGGGGTAGGACTAGGAGGAAGGGGATAGAGAGAGAACTGACTATTTTCAGCTGCTCTCCTGCGTTGAAACCATACCTCCATGTAAGTGATGGTTTGGCTAAATCTCTGTATGTCTTCTACCAGAATCTTCCGTAAATACACAAACTTTTACCCAAAAAGATAGCTGTACTTCACTTTGTACATCTGCCACATCCTAAACAGTTTTATCTGATGATTGATTATTTTGTAGCACATCTTCCAATGTTTGCTTCCGTGACTCATCTGACTTAAAGAAATTAGACTGTCTGGGTGCATTTTTCCCCTTCCGTTGATGTAAGCAAAGCTATAGGAGGAAAGCACTTTACACTGTAAATACACATGGTAAATTTTGCTTCTTTTGATAAACATTTCTTAGTCAATCAAGACTTGCTTGTACTAAAGACTAAATGATGAGTGTATGTCACAAAGCAGAGAACTATTAATGAAATTTGGGCCAGTTAATGGATTCTGCTTTTACTGTTTTTCCTTCATATTCTATACCAAAATCTCTTTTGAGGAGCTGGCATGACATGTGGGATTTTTTTTTTTTCTTCTTCTCTGTCATCTCTCTTCCCATGCATCCTTCTTCAAACATCTTCATTGGCAGTAAAGGTTAGCACACATTTATTGAACCTACCATATGTTTGTGTGCTTCAGATTCAGTGATGAAGTATCAATAATTATTGGTCTCTAGATATCTCTCGCAGAGAGACAGGAGTGAGACAGGCAAACACGGGATAATATAACGTGGCAAGATCAAATTATACACAAGATTGTCTGTGGCAGGGAAAGGTCAGGGGATCTTATCTGAAATGTTTGATGCCTTAGCACAGTTCTGAAAAATGTCAGATAATAAGGAATAGGAGGCAAAGGAGGGGGGGAGCAGAGGGAAAAACACATTCACTGAATATTTACTATTTTCTAGGCACAGTGAATTGTCACTTTTCTCACTTAACAATAATTCTCTGAGGTTACCATTTTACAGATGTGGAAACTGATGCTCACAGAGGTAAAAAGATTGCTCACGGCCAGTAAAGGCCATAAACAGGATTCAGACTTGGGAAGTTCAATTTCCAAGCCCATTTGCCATGCCATGGAATTCTGCATCTTCCCCTGAGAAGAGCAGAGGAGGAAACAGGGGTGAGCAATGGTGTGGACACTTAAGGTAGGAAAGACAGCAGCTGAAAATCCTTGGGTTCCACGAATAGCAAAGAATTGTTGACAAAAGGTTCTGAATGGCAACATGAAGGCATCTGACTGACCTCCACACTGAGCTCTGGGGTAACCGCAATGCCTTTGTTTATCTTCTGGCCATTACCACTGCTCCGTGTCGTATTTAACCTGTGTTTCAGAACAGGCCTCCAGTGGACACAGGGTCAATATAAATGTATCCTTTGGACATAGTTTTGTAAAACTATGCCTAGAGTGACTGTAATCAGTAATCATGGGCTTTTAGAGGGAAACAGGAACGTAGACATCTTTTGGGCAAGCCTCCTTATTCTACACAAAAAGAAGTGGCTCAGAGATAGGCAAGTATTTGTCCAAAGTCAGAGTTCAGAACACAGGTGTTCTGCTCCCAGCAGAGTGATATATGTTTTTAGCTAATTAAATATCAGCTGACACTGCCTTCCTGACCCAGGAAGTGATTTGTGGCCACAGGAAAGGGGAGCAGCCTAGTGCCCAAAATGGGTTCGTGGAACTGCAGTCTGGGGACTCTTACTTCCCACACCCAATCTCATACTCACACACCTGGTCATCCTGCAGATTCTCTTAGGCAATAATAAGCATCTACATCTGTCCAATTGGCTGAATCAGTCATATGAGAATGATCCTTGACATCTTCCTCTCTCTCACCTGCCATAACCAATTCAACACAAAGTCCTGCTTCTGTTTCCAAAACACACCTACGGCATGCATCCCTCTTTGCTGCCATGGCATATCCCAAGCCCGCAGCCCTCTCTCCTGGTTAACTGCAATGGATCACCATTCAGCCATTCGTGCTTTCGTTGGCTCACAGCCAAAATAGTCTTTGTCAACAAATACAATCCGAGCACTTCTGCTAAAAAAAAAAAAAAAAAAAAAAAAAAAAAAGTCCACATTGCCCATTGCCCTTGGGGCACAATTTTCTTTTCCTACAAAGCCCCGGATTATTTTTCTCTGTGCACTTCCTCAAAATACATTAAGCATCAGGCTTATGAATCTTCTTTAGGTCCTCAAATGCCCCAAATCCCACCTTGCCTCAATGCTCTTACACAATCTACTCCTTCCATGGAACACTCTCTCCCTATACTTACCCTAACTCTTCTGCATACTTTAACTCTCAGCTGAAAAATAATACCTTTAACAAAAATTTCCCTCTCCTCCCCTTACTATCTCTCCCATATAAATTAGTTCTTCAGTGAGAATCCCTTGCAGACTGTGAGCAATTACATCACATTTAATTATTCATTTATTAGCAAACTGTTTGATTCTGAGTAAGCTGTTCAATTCTCTGAGCTTTCTCGTTCTTGCCTATAAAATGGGCATACTTTGTAGAATAGTTGTAAGGACCAGAATTAAAGCACTTAATAGGCATTCAATGAATAGCTACGAAAAGTGTTATTCTTAAATTTTACCCATAGCCCAAAACAATACTCTGTACAATAAAAATCAATCACGGCTTAAGACCCAGAAGTAAGGTGACTATCAATCAGAATAGAGAGATTCTTCTGGAATACTGTTTCCAAGAAGACTCTTAAGCCATCTGTGTATATGTCACCTGTGCATTCCATTTTGACCTACCTGTGCTTTATGGAAACACCACCATTAGCTTTTTGCCATGAAACAAGGCCATTGAAAAGGGAAAAGAAACATATACAACGGGATAAAACACTGAAATACAGCTTATGATGCGGAAGTTCATCTGTCTTAAGCTGAGGACTCTAAAGAAAGATTTTTTTTTAAAAGGCTTTCTCCATTGGGTTACAATGATTTCTGCCTTCTCCTTCTCAACACAGATAGTCAATGTTTCAACGTTCATAAAAACTGGAACACAGAGCTATCTTGAATCCTGTTGTCCAAATTGTAGACTATTTGCAAAGCAATCCAGTACCAATCTTGAATAGCATTTCCAATGGTTCTCCTAGAGCACAAACACATTTAAATGCGCCTATTCACAAGTTTAAAAAAGAATGTAAATGTATGCACATATGAACATTGAAATAGCCTTCTGTGAGGCAGTTTAATAAGCCAATCTCTTAGTCCATACAGCAAACAAACTAGAATTAGAAATCAGAAGCAGAACTGTCATTATGCATACCTGTAATTCATTTTAAGAAATTCGTATGTTCCAGAAAAGTTGTCTGCACCCCACCATTTTTTAAATTGGATTATATTTCTAACAACACTAAAGGAAGTAGCTGTTTTAACTAGCATTCGAATGATACCTTTGGTAAAGTGAAGAATCATTTCTGTAATATGAATAATTGGCATCATTAAATTCACTTTGTAAACAAGGGATACTTGTACCATGTTTAGATTCAAGCAGATGATCCATCTGCTCTTGGTTTGGGGATTCATTCATTCAGTTAGCATTTTGCATGCATTTGCTATTCATGTATTCATTCTACAAATATTTACTGAGTGCTTACCATATGCCTGGCACTGTATTAGATGCTGAAGATACAGGAATGAACAAGAGAGGTGATATCCTTCGTCCTCCTGAAGCTTGTACCCTAGTGGGGCAAGGTGACAATAAAAAAAGAGGTAAATAAAAACATACAGTACAATCTCAAGTGGATATACGTGTTAGAAGAATTGAGCAGTCTAAGGGGATAGAAAGGGATGGGCTGTAGGGGGCTAGAGTGTTGGGTGGGTGCTTCGGTCATGGAAGAGCAAGGGAAATCCTGGTTAAACAGGCGAAATGAAGGAGCAAGCCAGGAGAAAGACTCAGGGCAGGGTGCTTCAGGCAGAAGGGACAGCAAATGCCAAGGTCCTGAATTGGGAGTATGTTTGTAGTTGAATAATAGCAAAAAGCAAAGTGTGGCTTGAGTAATCCAGGGAGAGATGGGAAGATCAGCAAGATACTTAGGAGCCAGCCCATGATGCACTTTCTAGACTATGAGGTATGCATGAGGCAACTGTTCTTAGCACCAGTAGGGGCAAGGAATAGAAGACTCCTAGAATCCACAGATTTCTGCCCACCATGGAAAGGGACAGTTCTACAAACAGATTAACATGTGTATATCTTTTCTCTTACATCCTCTTTATTCCTCTCTTACCTTCACTGCTTCTATTGCCCTTCCCTCCCTCTCTCCCTTCTTTCCTTTCACCCTTTCATGAATATTTATTTTGTACCTATTGTGCCTAGGAATCTGATGGATGCTTACTTTCCTGGGTCTAGAGAAAAGTTCTCCCTTTCCCCTACATACTCCCCATTCACATCAGAATTAGAATCTGTTGCATGAGCTTCTCCACTGGGATAACTTGTGAGTCAAACACATAGGTTGGAATCCTAACTCCAAGACATACTTGTTGTATTATATTGGGCAGTGCATATAATTTTCTTGTTATGTCAATTCTCTAATCTGTAAAATAGGGATAATAATACATACTTTGATGGGAGGTTTTGAAAATTTCTAGTTTTATATATACACTGGTGATTGTTATTATGACATTATTATAATATACACAATAATGTAATAATAATTAATTATTATAATAAATTATTATTATTACATTACTATTTCTTCCTTTACAACTTGAACCTTAAAGTTAAAGGAAGGACATGGTTACAGGGTTTGGTATGAGGCTGAAACTGTCTTCTGGTTCCATCTCTTCTAATGTCCTAGAATATTATATTCCTGATTATAGGATATAACCCATGGAATATGACAACCCAGGACAACCCAGCATGGATGAAAGTTGTTTGTGCCTATGGGAGATTGTATTAATGTCCCCAACTCTTCACCCTTCTCTGTATTTTTGCCAAGCACTTTTTGCCAAGCACCTCGAAGTTTCTCTCAATAAAAAAGCAGATTATGTTTCTCCACCCCTTGTCTTTCCATCTGACCATGTGGTATGCTTTGGCCAACAAAATGAGGTAGAAGGGACAGTTTCCAGTACTAAGACTAAACCACAAGAGGCCATGCATCTTGCTGTGTGACATCTTGTGCAGTTGCTCGCGCCATGAGAATATGCCCAATCTGGTCCCAAGAAGAGGATGGGAAATACAGGAAGCTGAGCTATTACCATAGCCTAGCCCAGTCTGGACCAGGCAACCCCAGCTGGCCCACAGATGAGAAAAAATAACTGTTATTTTAAGCCACTGGCATCCTTCATAATCTAGTATTATTATGGTGATATCTGACTGATAAGCTGCATTAATTTAATCAAAATATTTATTAAGAAACATTATCAATTAATCCAGCATATTTACTGGACATCTATATTTAACACACGAAGTACTGTGTGATACCAGAAGGGTATCAACCTTGCCCTTAGGGAACTTATAGTCTAGGTGAGGGAGGAAAACAAACAAATGCTACTGCTCAGAGTAGAAAAAGGTATTTCAGGGAAGGAGGTTGCCTAGAGTCAGGGTTTAGCAGGAGATGATTGGCTGAGCACTCCTAGTGGTGGAAAGGGGAACTGCATCTATGAGAGGCTCCTATTCTAAAGAAGAGTAGAACTGAAACTCCAGAATGTGAGCTCTGGAAGAAACCTCTGCAGAACTTACCTTGGGTGAGCTCTCATTTACAGCCAGTCTCTGAGAAAGGGAATGACTCACTCAGGGTGACTCAGTGAATTTGTGGCAAATCTAGGACATGAACCCAAGGGCACCTGCCCCCAAGTTTGGCACATCTAATTCTAAAATGACCTTAGATAGGTCTTACAGTGTCAGTAAACTTTGAGTTGCCCTAATATTCTTGGCCAGAAGTTTTATTACACATACGATTTAAAATAAGATTAATCTCCACAATTATTATAATTCATAATTGTAACATGCTTCTTTCTTGCTCAGGCCATTTAAGGTATGATAGTAATCAGACCTTGTAATTAATAACAGTAATTAATACCTTTCATTTATTGAGCCTCTGCTCTAAGCACAATTTTTATGGCTTTAGGTAAGTAGGCACATTGAATCCCTGCAACGATCTAGGCCCAGATAATAAGCCCCATTTTACAGAATTGGAAACTGAATCTCAAGGAGATAAAGTCTTTGCCCAAAGTCATACAGCTAGGTAAGTGGCAGAACCAGGAATCAGACACAGATCAAAAGTCTGTGGTTTTTCCACTTTTCTCTGCAGACCCAGCTGTGGGAACCTTTATCTGAAATGTTGGTTCACAAATGGCATTCCTGGTCCATCTTTCTCAATGTTTTCCCTCTGCCTAGAGAAGGCATGATAGGAGCCCACCGCAATGTGATAAAACAATCTCCCTGCTTGGATCTTGCCTCATGTTTTACACCTTATACCAAAGGATGCCTCTGGAGCACAGGCTTTGAGGAGACCTAGGGGAGCTTGGAGCTTCTAAGTGGAAACAAGGAACTGACTCAGCAGGGCCTGGCTATCTTCAGAGTCCGAGGAGAGGCCCATCAAAGGGATGAGAGCCCGGTACCTTTGATGAAGGAACCAACAGGAAATTATTAGCCTCATGCTAACAAGGACAAAGACAAGAAAAAGGCCATTTGGGCCTCATCTCTGTCTGGACTGGAAGAGGCAGGAAGCAGAAGGGGCTGTTTAATCCTGGCTCCAGAGCAACTTGAACCCTGGCTTCCTCCCTTGAAGAACAAGGTGAAGGAAAGGTGAGGGAAGTTAAGATAAACACCCAAACTTTTGGCTGCCTGGAGGAACTGAATCTTTTAATTTAAGCTGTCAGTAGGTTCTTTCTTCTTCTCTCTCTCTCTTTTCCTTTTTTAATCTAAACTGTAATCACACAATACTCCACCCAAATGCTTGATATGGATTTCTAAGACAGATCCTAACATAGTCATAAAAAATCCCCTCTGAAATGTGCACTTTGTACTGTGTCTATGTGTAGGTGTGTTTAAAATGTCACGAACTGGAATACCTAACTCTAGTTCCCAGGAATTAATCACTTAGAAGAGTGAAAGGGGGAAATTAACTTGCTTTAACACTTACAAGACTCTCCAAAGCAGGCGCCAAAATAGAACTTACTGAATAGACGTATGGTTATCTTTCCATAAGAACTAAAACTCTTAAAAAAACACACACACATTTTTCTATAAATTTGCCTTGCAAAATTTTCCCCCCTAAGGCTCAAATGCAAGTCACAGACTCTCACAGATTCCTCACAGGGAATAAAAGTGTAAAAAGAAGTTTTTTTTGGGGGGGGGTAGGGGCTGGCGGGTTTGGCCTTTTTTTAAAGTTACAATTCAATGAATTTTAGTTAAATGTGTAGATTTGTGCAACCATAACCATCATCTGATTTTAGAACATTTTCAATGCCAAGCAAAGCTCCTTCATGCCCATCTGTAGTCAACTCCTATTCCTACCCTTAGCCAGGACAACCACTGATCTGCTTTCTGCCTGTATACATTTGCATGATATAAATAGAATGAAACAATATGAAGTTTTGTATCTGGTTTTTAGCATGTTTTCAAGGTTCATTCATAACGTAACATGCATCAGTATTTCTTTTCTTTTTAATGCTAAATACTATTCCATCTCATGGATATACCACATTTTATCCATCCAGCTATTAGGGATAATGCTGCTGTGAATTTTCAGACACACATCTGAAAACATAGGTTTTCAGGTCTCTTGAGTAGAATCAAAGGCACAGAATTGCTGGGTTGTGCAAAGAGATACTGACTGCTGCTATACACTAGGTTCTATGTGATTCAGGCATGCTCTGTCAGTGGAAACCTACCAAGCAATTCTTGACTTATTTTTAAAACCAGCTGATACTACCTATCATTAATGGGATGATCTAAAAACAAGTCCCCCAAAACAAACAACAACAAAACAAACCAAAAAAAAAAAAAAAAACCAGTAAAAGAAACAAACACAACAGCTCTCATTTGATGCATTTTGAACAGAAACCAGAGGGCAAATTCCAACTAATATCAGATCACAAGTGTCCAGGCTCCATCCTTGGACTTGCTTCCAAAATGGAATTCATTGAAATGGGCAGAAAACATGAATAGACACTTCTCTAAAGAAGACATCCAGATGGCCAATAAGCATGAAAAGATGCTCAATGTCGCTCCTCATCAGGGAAATCAAATCAAAACCACACCCAGATATCACCTCACACCAGTCAGAGTGGCTAAAATGAACAAAACAGGAGACTATAGATGCTGGAGAGGATGTGGAGAAACGGGAACCCTCTTGCACTGTTGGTGGGAATGCAAACTGGTGCGGCCACTCTGGAAAACAGTGTGGAGGTTCCTCAAAAAATTAAAAATAGACCTACCCTATGACCCAGCAGTAACACTGCTAGGAATTTACCCAAGGGATACAGGAGTACTGATGCATAGGGGCACTTGGACCCCAATGTTTATAGCAGCACTCTCAACCATAGCCAAATTATGGAAAGAGCCTAAATGTCCATCAACTGATGAATGGATAAAGAAATTGTGGTTTATATACACAATGGAGTACTACGTGGCAATGAGAAAGAATGAAATATGGCCCTTTGTAGCAACGTGGATGTAACTGGAGAGTGTTATGCTAAGTGAAATAAATCATACAGAGGACAGATTCCATATGTTTTCACTCCTATGTGGATCCTGAGAAACTTAACAGAAGACCATGGGGGAGGGGAAGGAAAAAAAATGGTTAGAGAGGCAGGGAGCCAAAACATAAGAGACTCCTAAAAACTGAGAACAAACTGAGGGTTTATGGGATGTGGGTGGGTGATGGGTATTGAGGAGGGCACCTGTTGGGATGAGCACTGGGTGGTGTATGGAAACCAATTTGACAATAAATTTCATTAAAAAAATAAAATAAATAACATAAAATAACATAAAAAATAAATAAGATGAAAAAAAATGGAATTCATTGAACTTTTTCTCATGGATGGAAAGATGCCCTCACCATCACAGATCCTGAACAACTTTGTGTACGTGTAATTAGATTGGCATCGAGTTCACGGTCCCTTTATGCCCACGTGGGAAGGATGAGAAAACCCTGACAATAGTTAGAAGCTGAACAAGCGCGAAATCCAGCTATCTTCTCTCCTGGGTAATGTCAATCACGCGCGGAAGTGGCGCGCTGCGCCCCACCGTAGTGAGGGGACTTTCGGCGGAGGCCTAGGACGTGCTGAAGTTTTAGGGCTTACAGCACCCGGGAGTGGCAGATGAAAAGATAGGACCAAAGGGGCTGAGAGGAAGCAAGAGTGTGGAGGGGCTCAGGTCAGGGCCCAGCCTGAGGAGGAGGCAGCAGAGGCAGGTACAGCGTGCGACTCACCCGCGCGCTGCGGAGAAGCTCTGAGCCTCGGTGGCCTCACCAGTCGCTCGCACCTGGCTGGGGTGAGGCGGGGGTGGGCCGTATCCAGTGCCGGGAGAACTGTCGCCTCGCGGCCTTTGGGACGTGGGGGGTAGGGAGCGGAGAAGCGAAGGAACCCGGCAGCGCAAACCTAGCGCCCCCTCCCCCAGCCGAGGAACGGGCAGATTGAAGGCCACGGCCACACGGAGGGCCCGGGGCGCGCGCTGGGAGCCGAGGCGTGGGTGGGGGGGATCCCGGAGGCCGAGACGTCGGCGGGCGCGCCAAGGGGGAGGGGCGGCGTGCCCGGAGAGCCCGCCCCGCCCGCCGCCCCCGCGCACGCTGCAGGGCGCCGCGCAAAATCGTGGAGCCTCGCGCGCTCGCCGCCCGGGAGCTGGGTCGAGGAGGGGACCGTGGGGGACCAGGAGCCTGAGGGCCGGTTCCTTCTGCTTTCGCGCCCCGTCCGAGGCTTTCTCTTCCTTTACTCGCCCTCGTTTTCCGTTGACTCCTCGGTCCTTACCCATCTCTTCCGCGGGCCCATCACCGCTCCCCTTCTTGCCCGTCCTAATCCCCGTCCCTCCTGGAGATTCTTTTCCCCCGTTATCCCTTTGCTGCTTCGCCGTCTCTCTGCGTCTTCTTTTTCCGCCACTCCCCACCTTGGAAACTTGTTCCAGCCAGGGGTGTCCACCAGGTCACAGTTGTTTCCCTCGACCCCGGGGCCCTCGGAGTGTGGGGGTGCCAACCACGTTCGGGGTACCATGAGCGCCCCGCCCAGTCCCTGGCGTGATCCCTAGGCCCCGACCCTGGCTGCCTTCTCTTCCCGCGACTCCGCGACGGCAGGAAGCGGCTGGGGTCCCCCCCCCCCCAAGGAATAAAAGGGAGAACAGAGGGAGGGCCCGCGGGAGGACGCGGGCCCTGCACCTTAGGCCCTCTCCCGCGGAGCCGCACTCCCCGCAGAGCCTTCGTGGGTGTGCGGCGATGGGGCCTGAGGCAACAAGTGACGCTGACTGCGGGGGCCGCTGGTACCTGCCTGTGGCGGGGGCCCAGGCACCCTCTAGGGGGGCGGTGGCGGGCGCGAGGCTGACTCTAGCTCAGCGTTCCCCGCGCCCCCCTCTGCAAGCGAAGCGCGGCGGGGGCGGGGGTACTGGGAGAGAACCGAGAGACGTGGCTCTTCCCAAGTCCGAAGTCTCCCTCCCCAGGTTTCCCTACCCGCGCCCCAAGCAGAGTTTGAGAGATATGGGGGAGGCGCAGGGCAGAAGCCGCCGACGTGGAGCGATTTTAGGAGGGGGTGGTAGAGTGAGGAAAGACAATTCCCGATTGCCTCCCCCGCTTGGGCGATGCTTTCCTCCAACGCACCATCCAGGCCTCCCGGGCAAGGGCCCAGCCTGGCCAGCTGGAGCGGATTTGGGCGAAGGAGGAAAAGGGGGCTCCCAACCCCTCCCCGGCTTCCCTCCGCCGCCCTCCCTGATTGGCTGTGCGTCCCCGGAGCCCAACTTCAGTCGCTCCAGACTCTGTCTGAGCCCCCAAGGGAGCCGGAGTGCAGCGACCCGGGGCGACCACGAATCCGGGGGTCAGCATCTGTGGGGCCCCTGGGGGGAGGGGCGCGGACGGGGTCGGCCCCCGCAGCCTCCGCCAGGCCCAGCTTTCCGCGTCTCGCGGCCTCGGCTCCTCTCCGCCCCCCGCCCTTTCCTTCCCTCCCAGCAGCGGCCTCCCTCCTCCTCCGGCCCCCCCCCCCACCCCGCCCGCCACCTCCCCCCGGTTTCTCATTCCTGCCACTAGCGCGCTCGGCGGCTCATTCCGCGGCCGCCGCCAGCCGAGGGGAGCGTCGCGAGCAGATGCCGCGGGGGCCGCTCGCAGCCGCCGCCGACTTGTGAATGGGACTCGGACTGGGGCCGGGGTTGACACCGCTGCGCTCGCCTTGCGCCAGGGACCGACGGCCCCGAGCTCGCGCCCACCCTCCAGGGCCCCAGGTGAGGCTCGCCGCCAGTCCCTTCCTCTCGCCTGGATGGGGCTTCTTGGAGTGGGGGAGCGGGGGGGGGGGTCTCTGGATGAGCGTCTGGAGGTGTGCGGAAAGAGGTCTGACTCGGGAAGATTTCACTAATGCAACGCAGGAAAGGGGGGAGGGCGGAGGTAAGAGAAGATTTGTTTAAAAATCAAAAAGGGAGAAGGGAACCAGCTGTGGGCGCGGGCGGCGCAGGGGGGCAGAGGCGCCAGATGTGCGCTCCAACCTCTCTCCCCCGCTCCGGCCTCCTCTGGGGTCTTCGCCGAGGCCGCGGGAGAGGGGCTTTGCGCCGGGCTGGGGCAGACGCTGCAGAGCCGCGCTCCGGACGCGCCGACTGCCCGCGGTCGGGTCTCTGGGGAAAGTCGCCCCCGGCGCGGTGCCGGCCCGCCCGCCCGCGCTGCACCTCTTGCCGAAAGCGGCGACGTGACCGCGCTCTGCAGGGTTCCTTTCCCTTCCTCCCTGTCCCCGCCGAGCGCTCCCGGGGGCTCAGCCCTCCTTGCGCGACCGCCGGGGAAAGCCCCGGACAACGGAAGGAACCGGGCTCGCGTCGGCGGTGGCCCCGCACTTTAATTGCCGGGCTCTGGGTCCGCTGACTGCGGCTGAGGGGCGGCCGATTGCGGTGCGCGCTCCAGCCCTCCAGCCCGAGTCTCTGCTCGCGAGCTCCGGGGGCCGCCCGTTAGCTCCCGCCAGCCCAAGGAGAGGTCGGCGAGCGCCTCAGACTCGGGCTCAGCTCTGCCCGAGGCTCGCGAAGCCTGCCAGGGTCAACGTTAACTTTGCGAACCAAGCCTTGCCCGAAGCCTGCGTCTCCTCCCCGAGCGCGCCAAGCCTCCCTAGCTCCCCGCACGCACTGCCCTCCTCCCTTAGCTTTGCCCCGGAACGCGAGCTGGCAGAATGGGAAGGGCGGTGAGGAGAGGACCCTCCTCCCCACCCCCACCTCAAGCCAGGCAGAGCTGTAAGGCGCGCCCGCCTCGCGCTGTGAAGAAAAGAGTCCCCGGAGAAAGTGGGGTCCGGGAGGCCCCCCGGTCGCACTTCTTCATCCCTTTCTTGCCAAGGCCCTGCTTTCGCTGGGGCGGGAGGGTGTGTGGGGGGGGGGAGGGGGTGCCCCACACGCCTCCCTCTCCAGGGCGAAAGGTTTTCTAGATGCTAGAAAAAGCCCTGTTGCTTTTGCTGATAATGCAGCAGGAATTTCACGGGCCATCGCACTGCTATTAAGAAATTGCATCTTTTAATTATTTAATAATACCATCCCTGCATGACGACGGGTTGTCCCTAAGGGATGGGGGTGGAGGGTTGTTCCTGAAACCCTGCTGTAGGGGCATATAGCTCTGCCTGAAGTCTTCCCTCTTGTTTCCCCCTAAAGAAATCTTGTTCTAGTGGTTCTGAAATCTTGTTTTAATCTTCCGATCATTCCTATCAGGTTAATATGAGGCAGGGAGTAAGTTTTCGGTTTAATCACAGGGAGGACACGATAATTAATCTGGCAAGAGGATGGATCAATTTCTTTATCACTTGGGCTTGCAGCAGACATCGATGGTTTTGCGGGGTGTCTGGCTTTCCTGGGGATGGGGATGTAGAAGTGTTCTCAGGAGCGGGGATCAGCCAGCATCGCATCAGCACCTTTGCCAGGCTGGGCTCTGAGCGCTAGATCCAAATACCCCCGGAGAGGAGAAGAGAAGGGGCTGACCTTCATTTCACTAATCCTGGAATTATTTTTCCTGCATATGTGAGATGCAGACACCAGAACACAGAAGTAGTCCCTGCCCAACCCTAGCTGCAGGGAGCCTGGTCTTCTTCCAGCAGAACAAAGGAATAAAAGTTGCAAAACAAAGGGACAGAGTTGTGGCCAATACCAGAGGGACCCTGAAGCTCCTCGTCACTAAAGTTCCTTAATCCAGAGCTCTGATTCCAAGTTTTAGAGTTGGCCAGTGGGCCCTGGAATTCGAACCTCCTTGCAAAACTGAATTCCTGCCTAGTACAAAGAAATGTGAGTAGTTTCCAAGTGTAGACCAGGGAAGGGCATCTGAGAGGCCAGGAAACTTTGCTTGAGTGAGAATTATCTTTACATCTTCCTTTTGAAACATGGCAAATTAATGAATTAAAAATGTGTTGCAGCCAGGCTTTATTGTTAATAACAATGATTCCTATCGTTTTTGTCGTTATTTCAGACTCTGCATAAGCTGCCCATTTTGTTACATTGTTTGAAAAAAAGATATCAGCCCTCCTCTCCTCCCACCTCTGGGATGGGGGTGGGGAGAGAGGATGAAGAGGTCTGAGACAGGATCATCTGTTGAGGCCAAAACAGGTAGATTTACTCAAACTCGGCTTACTGCTTACTAGAAAAAATTGCCTTTTAAAATAGTTCTAATTGAAGCAGTGGACCATCTTGATAACACTTCAGAACTTCCATTATGTTCAGCATTCCTATCAGAACACCAGACAGTAAAACTACCAGAAACCTAAATTCTATTTTTCAATTAAGATGCAATCTTTTGTTAATTTGAGAATTAAAAAAAAAAAAAAATAACTGCTCTCCCCCCCCCCTTTTTTTTTTTTTTTTTTTTTATGACCCAGGACTCTTTGAAGGGGTGGTGGTGAATGTGTGTGTTTGTTTGTTTATTTGTGAGAGGAGATGGGGGCAAGGTTGAAGAGCCATGCCATGATTTGGGGGAATACAGATCAATTTCATGCTCCTTTAATGCACTTGTCTTCATAATTCATGGTTTTTCTTCCACTTTGAATAGAATTACATGGCTGCCTTGTAAAGATTCTGGTTTGGGGACCCTCTTATGGGAAACGCCATGACTTTGACCTCAAAGCTTGATTTACAATGCCACAGCTACACTCCCATGAGCTCAGTGTGTCTCGAAACCTCGCCTGTGAATGTCTGTGACTTACGAAGTTGACAGTTCACATAAACTTTGATCTGTGATATTCAGATCTATTTTCAGAACCATCTAAAGGAGATCTGCAGATTTGATTTTAGTTTTCCTTCATTTTCAATACATCTATGTAGGCAAATGTTCAAGAAGCATAACCATTTTATTTTCAATATTTTTTTTTCACTTTGATTAGGCATACCTAATCTTTAATAATAAGACACTGGTCTATGGGGGTTGAAACTAGGTAGCAAACATTTTGTATTACACTGTAAAGTTTGCAGAATGACTATGAATTCCTGAGTCTTTTTCCCAGAAAATCTGAACACCGTGTAAATTCATCAGCCTATGAATAGTGGTTGGGATTTTTTTCCCCCTTAGGAAATTGGTCATTGTATCAGAAAAAGTTACCTAGTTCCTCAAGAGCCCACATTCTATATCTGCCAAGGATGTGAGTTCTCAACTTTTCTAATCCATTGTTATTGCCCCTAAAATACGTAAAGATCTTTGGTCTATATGGGCTAGGGGACAGACATCAACAGGTATGTTAAAAAAGAAAAAAAAAAAAAAGCTGGAGAAAGTTAGGCAAGTTCTGGCACACCAGTAGTACTAAGAATCCATCAGGATTCCATCAGGATTACTGTGATAGTCATCCACAGCCTCTTCTATGGGCAGAAAGAACTAAAGAAAACACTCGAGGAGGATAATTAGACATCTTTCTGCTATAATTTTACCCTGACATTGAGAGCCTTGTGCATCTCTGGAAATGGGCTCCTTCGCGGAAGATTGCACTTCTGGCCACTAGAGGGCAATGGCGCCCTTCTCCAACTTTCTGCATGGGGCCCATCTGCTTTTGAGGGCACCATGAAAAGCGGTTTTGTTACCACCACCCCTGTCTGGCCCTCTCAGGAGAGACCGAATTCAATCTAGCAGTGGTTCAGGCTACCGCCTGAGCAGTTTGTCAGGATTAACATCTTTCTAGTCGGTGGATCCTTTACCTTCAGCCTCTTCTTCCCATCTTGGAGTTTACTAGAAAGTTGGAAAAATCTTGTAACTTGAGATTATCTGAGCAGAAGGTGCTTGGGGGCTGGGGTGCCTGATACACAAGGTCAGCTCTCAGTAAGACAGTGATCTGGGAGGATTTTCTGGCTTTTTTTTTCCCCCTGCTAGAAAGAGCATCATTTGAGACTCCGAGGGGAAGCAAATGAATAAAGAAGAGAAATATTAGTGGGATTACTGTGGTATCATTGCCTATTCTTTCAAGAGGTTTTTAAAACATCTGCAAGACATTTCTAATTTGCAAAAACGAATAGCAGTATGATCTTTGGTAAACACTTTGGGGCATGGAGTTTTAATGTAACTGTAAATGTTTTACTGTTACCTTTAAACCATTCTTGATATTGCTGTAAAAAAAACTAAATTTAGCAGAGAGTAAAATTTAATTCAAGATTGGTCCTTGACTTTTTTTTCCTCCTCAGTGATATGGAAATTACTGCTTATGATTAAATTGCATATTTTAGGTTGCCCAAATTTATATTTGTTACTGTTTGATAGCGTCATTATGAAAGTTCAGAAGAATAATGTAAAAAAGATACTAACGCTATATTATAATTAAGAGGAAAGCTCTAATAAAAAAATAAGTACTGTCCTAAGTGGATTCTTAATTTTATTTTTTTAACTGAATACAATTGCCTCCCTGGTGAGTCAGCAGTGCAGTTCTGTGTATCTCTGAGTGTGTTGGAATGTGCAGGCAGTTGATGAAGAAGGAATCAATGCAAATGGATTATGGGAAGGAGTATTAAGTAACTCAGTGGAAAGTAAGACAAAGTGTTTTGTAAACCAATGCTCACTCACCACCGGACAGTTTATTTAACCCGAAAAAAAGAAAGTACTTTTAAATTGTAAGTGCTTGTGAATAATGCATGTTTGTTAGAACTGGAGGCAAAATTTCATTGTTATTTGGTTTAATTAGTCATCAGACTGTTGCAGGGTACCAGGATTCTTATTGAGATGAATCATTGTTCTCATAGTCTGTCCGGTTAAAGTTTCTGCTCCGGCACAGAATCTCGTACACCAGGATATTAAGTGAGAT